CAGCCACCAGAAGACCAATCCTCAGCGTCCTCCGAAGGGAGGCCAAAGTCGCGCTTCTCCTGGCTCACCCCAAGCTTGTCCTCGTGGAGGCGGATGATGGCTTCGCTGAATTCCTCGTGCACGAGGGACTCGCGAACGAGGAAGCTGGAGATGTTTTCACCCGGTTTCCTTTGGAAGGAAAAGTATTGAGAGCATATAGCGGCTGCGTTGGGCAAGGTTTTGCGGACAAGAGGTGAAGCCGCAAGCTTCTGTAGGTAGTGCTTCGTCCCTCCTGGCTGGTCGAAGGACATACGATTCCAACTCATTGCCAAGGTCCGTGCAGGGCCGGATAGTCGGCTCAAGAGCTTCGACGCGCAATGTCTGCGCTTGTGCACTGGTGTGCCTTGGACATACCAGGCAACTTCTCTCGTGTAGCGTCGCCAGCTCCGGGCCGAGCCATCCCAAGCGGGTACACTGCTCCGCTCGTCCATCTTGAAGATCACTTGCTGCAAAGCAAAGGAAAAACTGTTCACAAAGTCGAGGAACTTGCCAGAGAAGAAGGAGAAAATCGCCGGGAGGTCGTGGTAGGCCTCCAAGCGCGGACCGTGCCCAGGTAGTCGAGAATCGTGTTCGGGAGGGGCACGTCCAAAGCTGCCTCCGGAAAGTTCCGAAGTCCCTGGAGCTTGCGCTCCGCTACCAATGCAGCAGGGTTAGCACAGCGAAGACGTAAAAGGGCTCTGACACACGAAGGGAAGTGCGCTCTGCACTCGGATGTTTTCTCACGACCGCAGAGGTCGCACGTCGTCCATGTCTCACGGCTCTACAGGGGCCCCTGCTTGAGCCAAAATGGCTAACACGGAATGCATGGCTGACTGGCTAGATATCACTGTTGCAGAATCCCAGCACTATTTGTCCTTAATCCGGTGTCCACCTTCTTGGTGTACTATAGGGTTTGTGAATTGCAGTTTGTTTCTTGAAGTTCGCAAGGACCTACTGGCGTCTGCAACGAGAAACAGTTAGACTGCAGTAGGGCTTTGGGGTTTTGCGTTCGACAAGAACGGCATTTGCGGCCAAGCCCTCGGTTGCAGGGCTGAGTTCGAGGTACGGGGATTCCTATAAGGGTTCCTTCCTGTAAGGGTGGTTTGTATAAGGGCTCCTAGTTTTTGGTTCAAACGTCTACTTCAGCGATGCAGTTTTCTTAAGAAAAACAACGTCGACAAAGTGTTAGGCCAAGTTGACGTCAGCCACAATAACTCACACATATATAACAGTGGTTCAGCAACAGACAGAGAATCTGCAAAGTTTATGCAACGACATCCCGGACCTCAAGCAAACCAAGACCGTGCAGGGTGGCTTTAGGTGACCGCTTCTGAACAGAGGCTGAGTCCCGAAACCTCACATCCTAAGCCAATCCCTCAATCCCCCCAACCCTAACACCCTAAACCCTAACACCCTGAACCCCAATACCCTGAACCCTAAACCCCAAACCCTAACACCCCAAAGCCTTACGGTTCCATCCTACCCAGCGGACCAGGCCAAAGGTTTTGCTAGCCTCCCTGAACCGGTTTAGGGTTTAGGGTCTAGGCTTTAGGGGTTTAGGGGTTTAGGGTGTTATGGCTTAGGTGTTTAGGGTTTAGGGTCCCTTCAGCCACCCGGCCGGCTCTTGAGCAGGATCCCAAACTCTCCTATAGTCGTCGGGCTTGTACCAAGAACAGGCAAAGTTATGGCCGTTTGCAGTAAACGCTCCGTAGAACCCCTACCCAACGCCTCAAACCTACAAGCGGTATGAAGGGACTTGGGGATGAAGGTATGGAGCACTGGAGGCTTGATACCTTCCCAAATCTTGAAATGTCTATTCGCTTCCTGATGTCTAGCTGGCTTGAGATGCAGACAGCAATCTTCCACGCGGCCATCGTGCGGTACACGATGCTGTAGAACTGATCCTGCTCTCAGCGTTTGGGGGTGTGGGAGTCGCGGCGTTTTGAGGCTGCGCTACCCTTGCCGGACTCCTATACAGAAAACCAACAACCCACAACTAGGGTTTAGGGTTTAGGGTTCTTGGGTCGGATGATAAACCCCGTATCGCAGAACCCAATATAGGATAATCTAATCTAAGCTGGTGTAAAATAGAACATTACTATATACTGTAATGAGATCAAGCGACATCATCTGGTATCGCTTTAACCGTATAAACTCATATAACAGCAGGTAAGATAGTTGCATGACACAGCAAAGGATACTAGAATGATACAATGTAATTTAGGATAGCACCATACATAAATGCAATACATCATGCAATAACTTATAATTTGGTACAATAAAATGCCAAAAATATGACATAGCAGGTTCACAGAATAGAAGAAACGATAGAGCATTATTTCACGATGTAACAATACAACCTACTATAGTACAAAACATCAAAAACCGTAAGGGCAATATGAAAAAAAATGACAAAATACACAGCAGTACACTATAACATACAACAGTATAAAATAATAACTATATATATATATATGATTTGTTGTTTCAGACCTTAACGTACTGGTTTCTAATTTGTTCTTGATATAACGAAACCTTATGTAACCTGAAGTATGAGGTACATGGCACTATGCTGTGCTATGCTATGCTATGATGTGCGATACTGCTATACTGTATACTTTAGTCCACTCTACTGTACTATACTAAACTATACTGCACTGAAACATAGTACACCATGTTACCCCGCCGAACGAAAACTCATCAGCTCGGATGCCGAATTGAAATGACTCGCTCCGTTCAGGATTCGGGGTCTAGGGCTAAGGAGTTTAGGATTTAGTATGTTTGCTTCGTACCTCCTTGTCCGAAGGATCTTGAGTCGCATTGGAACCCCAGGCAGAGTTCAGAGGCAGAGGGTTTTCGGCCCTGACCTACTGAACAGAAAACCAACGAAACCTTGAGCTAGTGGCTTATTCTTCGGAGGTGTAAAGCTCATCGCGTCTGAAGTTAACGGCCCCATACCCTAAAACCCTGCATCCCTAGCCCCCTATATACCCTAAGCCCCGCATCATCATACAGCCTAAACTCTGCATCTCTGTACCCATAGGCCCCATAGTACTTTATAGGATTCTAAATATGAGCCCCCAAAAGGAACTACTGTGGGGCCTATGGGTATCCCTAATCAGTTCAGTTGAAACTGAGTTCGACATCATCCCGAAAGCCTAAGACCCCGGTCAGAGAACCTTGAAAGTACGAGCATCCCTTATACATTCCGCACAAAAACTATGGTGATCCCGTAAAGCAACCCTGTAATATAGGGGCCTTAATAATTAGAATAGGGTTTTGAGGCCCATTATTCTATGATTATAACAAGGAACCCCCCAAAATAGTATAGGTAACTATTTAAGCCCCTCCATTAGGGCCTGACGCCAGAGCATCACGGTGATTGCCAGGGTGTCCGCCAGCTTCTCGGCAGAGCCGAGGCGCTCGCCTCTCCGACTAATGGCTTTGTGTGTAGGGGCCTTAATAATTAGGATAGGGTTTAGGGTTTAGGGTTTAGGGTTTAGGGGTACAATATACCATTATAGTAAGGGACTCCCAAACTAGTAGTTATAGGTAATTCCTATATTGGGCAGTGTTGGTTTAGGGTGCGGGGCTTAAGTTCTAGGGCTTGAGGATGGGTCTGAAGTCTAGGGTTCAAGGGTTTGGGCTTGATGGGGGTTTCCGAAAATAGGGGACCCTAATATAGTACCCTAAATAGTAGGATCCTTATTATAAGGACCCCAAAATAAGGTACCCCTAATTTTCGGAAACTCCCTGATGGTTTAGGGAAGATCTGGGAGGCTTCGGGTGTAGCTTGGGTGCATGAGTTTAAGGTCAGGTTTAGAGTTACCTGTGGCCCGAAAGACTTACCTATTTAAAGGAACTATATGTAGAAACTATAATAATAGAACCTAAAAAAGGAGGTCTTTTCGGCTACAGTTAGGTCGTGGTTCTCTCAAGTTACGAGCAACAGAGTCAAAAAAAGCGGCTCTGCTTCTTCGAGGTACATGGAAGTTGCAGAAAAAGAGCGGTAGGTTTAGGGTTTAGGGAGTCAGCGGATCCCCTGAGAAGGATTTGGAGTAGTGGGAACTCATCATCCCCACAGACGATACTCAAACTATCTCAAGCTTAGGCCCCACGCCCCAAACCCGACACCCAAAATCCGAAACCCGCAAAAGCCACAAGCCCCTAGACCCTAAACCCTCAAGAATCATCGCAGGCCTCGGGCACGTCTTGCCTCCGTCGCCCAAAGCGTGAATGCCGTGGTCCAGGTGAGGCGATCGACAGCCTGTCTTGGCAGAAGGGTTTGGGGACTAAGGGTTTAGGGTTTAGGGTTTAGGGTTTAGGGTTTAGGGATTCAGGATTCAGGGTTTAGGGACTTAGGATTAGTGTTTAAAGATCCAGGGCTTAGGGTTTAGGGATTCAGGGTTTAGGGTTTGGTCGTCTCCTATTTCGAATGTTTCGGGCTTATGCAGGTACAGGGGCATAAACATTTTCTGAGTCGTGGTTGAAGTAATAAGATTAAGGCTTAGGGTTTCGCCTACGTCCTGAACCCCAAACCCGAGCCCTGAACCTTAAACACCGACCTCCTAACCCCTGAACGCCTATAAACCCTAAGCCCTAAAACCGTAAAAACCCTAAACCCAAAACCCCTCAACCCTAAAACTCGAAACTCTAAAGCCAAAAACCATACACCGTGAACCCTAAACCCTGAAAATGCCTGCCCGTCACGGTCCAGGGACGTGGTGAGGACTCTTGACAAGCAGCGACTACGCCTCGTCATCCACGCAGGAAGTGGATTTTAGGGTTTAGGGCTTAAGGGTTTAAGAGCTTCAACGTCTAGGGCTTTTAGGTTTTGAAGGTTTAAAGGTTCAAGGATTGAAGGGGCTTGGGCTTCGGGTGCAGGGCTTGATATGGGAGCCTGAATAGTATTTCATCAGAATACTAAGTACTGCATAGGGTTCCTAAATATGATTCGGGTACATTGCAGGGGGTTTCTTGATTAAAGAATAGTGCTCCTAATATACCCCAAGAGGGCTTATACAGGGGCCTTCACACTTTCAATAGTCTCGATTCTTTATGGTGTTCTTCTAATAGATCTATAGTATAAAATGCCTCTAACATTATGAAGGCAGCGCCACTTGGGACTTTCAAGAAATTACGGTGGCCCCGATCATGGAGCCTACACCGTGGTATCCTCACTGCAAGCACGAGGGTCGAAGGAATGCCTTAGCCACGACCCTCAACTCCCAAACCCTCAAATGGAAATTTCACACAACTTACAGCAGACATCCCCACCAGGGTTTCTTACATGAAGTTCTGTAGACAAGCCTTTGAAACTCTTCTTGAAGCGCCCAGATCGAGGGCATGCTGTTTTCGAATCGTTTACCTTAAACTTAAAGCACTAAAGCCCAAACTACCTGAACATCAACCCCTCATGGTGTCCTGGACTAGGTTCCTGAGCAATGTATGCCATAATGTACAGGGGCCAGAAGAAATAACTACGTAGTGATAACATCCCCCGTGCAGTTCTCACATAAGTCCCACCAAGAAACAAAACGCCTGTCTAATAAGGCCCCAAGATGATGATGGTGATGATGATGTTGACAACGATGAGCATAGTGATGGTGATGATGATGAAGATGAAGTTGGCTGTGACGGTGATGATGATGACGACGACGATGACGAGTCATCGTTGTTGTTGTTGTTGCTGTTGTTGTTGTTGTTGTTATCAAAGATCGATTCCGCAATGACGGAGGAGCCTCGTGGTCCAGTTGTGCTGCTTCGCCCGGATGACTGCGGAGGGATTCCGGCCGTGGACCTGGCCAGGAGGGCACGTGAGTGACAATCATAATCAACATAATAATCGTACTGGTATGATTAGTAGTAATAACAGTAACAAGGTAACAATAATAAAACAATGATAACAACAATAATGGGAATATGCATAAACATGATACATATGATGGTGATACTGATGCTGATAGAAACAACACAGATAAGTGATAACAGCCGCATCAAGGGAGGACGTATCAAGTAGAATCCAGGAAGCTAGAACATCACGATCCGCATTCCAGTGAAGTGGAGTTTGAGAAGATCTCAACAAAAAACCATCCCTGCAAGCACATTTTAAAAGTACTGTAAGGTCGCGATGGCCTTTCAGAGTTCGAAGCTCCGCGCCCCTGTCCCAATCCTTGAAACCTCCGAAGACACGCAGCCCGAAGCCCAACAACATTTGAGCAAAAATCTGGACTCCACGGGTAACACCAGAAAGGCCAGAGGCACAGCATGCAATAGTGCAGTCGTAACACCTGAAATATGAAAAAAAAGTGGAGTTTTCGATTTGAGATCCCACCAACCCCGAAGTCACTTTCGTGACAAAGAAGACAGGATAAGGTAGACCCCTCATGAAAAACCATCCGTTCTCTGAGGACCCTATAACCTGAGGATCCTATTCTATCCCCTATTCAATCTGAGGATCCTATTCTATCCCCTATTCATTGAAAGCGCTTGTGATAGTTCGGGGTCTACATTACCATATGCAACTGGGCGTGCGGACGTCGCGCCAACCACCAAACGTTCCCCGAAGGATGGCTTGCGCCTCGGCTTCAGGCTTTGGTTGTGGCGTTTAGAGATCAAGTTCAGGGTTGAACCCTATAAACCCTAAACCCCTATAGACGCTAAACCCTAAACCCCTATAAGCCCTAAACCCTAAGCCCCTAAACCCCCATAAGCCCTAAACTCCTAAGCCCTAAACCCTACACTTACGGCCGGAAACCCTAAGCGCCCAGTGCACCTAACAAAAGGTTCACAGTTTCGTGTTTGCCGTCCGCAGTGATAAGGGTTTACGGTTTAGGGCTTGGGGTTCAGGGTTTAGGGTTTAGGGCTTGGGGCTCAGGGTTTAGGGTTCAGGGTTTTAGGGTTTAGGTTTTAGGGTTTAGGAATTTTGGTTTAGGGTTTACAGTAGGGTCTAGGATTTAGGGTTTTGGCTTAGGGCTTAGGGGCCTTTTGCTACTATGAAGGTGTTGAGGTTTGGGAGTTTGAGGGTCCCAGGTCTCCCATGTAAGGTCCATGAAACGAACGACATATGGGAGTTTCCGAAAGTAAGGGGTACCTTATTTTGGGGGGCCCTTATAAGAATCCTACTATTTAGGGTACTATGTTAGGGTCCCCTCTTTTAGGAAAACCCCATATCAGCCCCAGGCACCCAAGACCAAACCCCAAGGCCTAAACCTCAAGACTCAAAGTCCGGACAGAGCCACGGCTGACTATATCAGCAACGGCAGAAAAGAAGACAACGGCACACCAGTGGGAAGACTCGCCATCATTGCAAGTGTAAGTTTCTGGTTTGATGCTAGGATCGAGCTTGAGACCTTGCTCCTGGCGGACGTCGGGGTTTGATGAGGATCCTATGTCTGGCGGCTTCTGATGCGTCGTTCAGGCAGATGCGCTTTGCGGTTAGCATCTGACCAATGATTTGCCAGAAGAAGCTAGCACGACCCACCGCAAATAGTAACCTCCCACAAACCGTCCATGCAGGCGCTTCCGTGCCCAGTGACCCCAACCGCAAAACTGCCTTACAGACCTAAGCCCAAACCCATAACCCTAAACTCTAAGTCAAGCGGCCATTCTGTGTTCCACCAGTGCAGCGAGCGACCTCGCCTGATGAAGCTGTGCGATGAGTCCGGACCACTGGCTGAAGACCTGAGTTGGCTTTAGGGTTTAGGGTTTAGGGCTTAGGGTTCAATGAGGGTTTCACAGAGGGTTCATTTAGTTTATATAAGTTGTTTAAAAAGGTTTCGTACAGGGGCTGTTTTAAGGGCTTCGGAAGGTTTTTGCCAGGGTTCTACAAACTGGATGACTCGTGTCAGGACGGAACCTGCAAATGCTGACCCTTCTGGCTGGTCGATAATGTGGCATGTTTTGCTTTTACAGCCACCGCGTTCTGCATGAATTACACTTCTTACTGCTATTGGTACTACCGAGTCAGATACCTCGCGTGTCACTCTTGTCGGCATTTTGCTAGTATCATTGCTCTCTTTTCGCTGTTTCGATTACAAATAGCTAAAGGCATCACAGCATTACGAATGTCGCTCTGACTGCCATTCTCCTGTGCAGAAAACGAATGTTGGCACTTCGGTTGTTAAACTTGTGATACCTCGGGGCACTGGTATTCGTAACTTCGGAATTGTCTCGTGTTCAGCATGACATATCGTTCTTGGCTGCCCAGGGCATAGGACAGTGCAGGACATTTCGAAGTCAGCCGAATCACCCCGTTTGCACAGTCTACAGTGCCGGACTCTTGGCGCGATCCAAGCCATGTCTTCACAGCTCTTGGGAAAGATGGTCAAATGTTCAAGGGCCCAACTTCGCGTGAACTCGCCGCCTTCTTAGCGGGCGATATGGCTTCAGGGAGTTCAGCCCTGTCCCAGCTACGGAACATCTAACTCGAAGGAACCAAAATCACAAACATTTAAAAAAGCCTTCACAATTAGAACAGGGTTTTGGGGCCCATTACACCATAACTATAACAAGGACCCCCCCCAAAAAAACAAAAAATGTTGGAAATTATTGAGGCCCCTATAACTAAAATAAGGACCCCCCCCCCAAAAAAAAAAAATAGTATGCGAAATTATTGAGGCCCCTAAACCCTAAACCCTAAATCCTAAACCCTAAACCCTTTTAAAAGGCCACCTGGGGCCGGGGCTGCCTGCGCCGTCAGATGCTGCAGGCGGATGGGCGCCTGGAGCGGGGGCTTTTCGGAAAGTCCCTTTTAGGTTTAGGGTTTAGGGTTTAGGGTTTAGGGTTTAGGGTTTAGGGCTTAGGGTTTAGGGCTTAGGGTTTAGGGTTTAGGGTTTAGGGTTTAGGGCTTAGGGTTTAGGGTTTAGCCTGCCTTGAGGCTTGAGACTGCGTAATATCGGAGGCCTTACAAAGGTGGGATGAAGGTAGGTAGGATTCAGGATCCCTTATATAAGGACCCCTATTTGGGAATCTCCCACCTACCTTCATCCCACCGTCTGAAGCCTCCGATAATATGGTCTTTTGAGGGCTCAGGGCATAAGTCTTTGAGGGCTCAGAAGCCCTAAACCCTAAACCGGTTTCAGGGCTGAGGGTTCAGAAGCTAAGGGTCTTATGGTTCAGGGAATTGGGAGCTCCTTGGGGTCCAGGTGCTGGGGATGTTTAGGGTGTATAGGGTTTATATAGGGCTTATATAGTGTTTAGGGTTTAGAGCTTATAGGGTTTATAGGGGTTCAGGGGTTCAGGGGTTTAGGGTTTAGGGTTTATAGGGGTTTAGGGTCTGAGGCTACTCTCTTGGGGTGTTGGGGGAAGGCCTAGGGTGTCAGCCTTGGCGTTGAAGGCTCGGGGATGGAGGGATGAGGAGTCCTGTAGGGGCCTTAATCATTGGAATAGGGTTTTCGGGGTTCCTTCTTATGATTATAAAAGAAGAATCCCCCCCCAAGCCCTATTCTAATTCTTAAGACCCCTATATTAGCCCGAAGCCCCAAACCCTGAAACCTCAGATTCAACCCCTAAGCCCTGAAACCCGAATACGACCAAATTGAGGGACCCCAAACACCTCCAAACCACCGAGCTGGAAATCTGAAACCCTTAGAGCATACTCTCACTAATCCAGGCCCCCATATAGCCATTGTCTCCCAGAGCCTAGGGTTTGGGTTTAGGGTTTAGGGCTCATCAAACAGTTGACAAGCTGATACACTTAACCCTCGCGCCGAAACCCACCAGCCCAATTCCCGAACTGTGAACTTCAAATCCTATCCAACCTAAACCCTAAACCCTAAACCCTAAACCCCACAAGAAAGCTCGCCGGGGCCCCAGCAAGTCTTGCCTGGGCCCTGGCGGCCTGCCGCCACGCTTCAGTTGCAGGTTTTTGATAATGGTTTGGCGCGCCGGATGTGGAAGCCTGCTCTATTCAACCGCAGCCCTCTAAAGAAGGGTACGCCCTGATTGTACGAGTGACTTCTCCGCTCTGCTTTTCGGGCATGTGGGGTGTTGTTATAAGCGAAAATCCTGCACATGTTGTATTCGCTGTCTGTTTGCTATACTGTACTCTGCTCCTCTGTTTTCTTTACCAAGCCATACTGCGAGTTTAGAGTCGTATTCTTCGAGGCGCGGGCCATACACTCAGGTCTCATCAGCGCTGCTCTATTTGAAGGCATAATTAAAGCCCTTGACGAAGCAGCAGCCCGGAACGGAAGTCCTCATCACGAAGCCCCAAGATGACTCCCTGAATCCTGCGCTCAGTGCTTTCGGCTTGCTTCAGGCTTCCGCAAACCCTAAACCCTAAACCCTATAAACCCCAAGCCGTAAACCCTAAAAGCCCAGAGCCCTACTCCCCTTTTTCCGGGAGCACTCAGTGCGTCCAGGGCAAGCGCGATCTTGCTAAAGCTCCAGGCCGAGAGGCGTTGGCCTCTTTTGGTGCCGAGACTTCAAAAGCTTCCACGAGCAAGGCTTCCCAACAGGCATCGTCCCGTACCGATCAGGGTTTAGGGGTTTAGGATTTAGAGTTTAGGGCTAAGGGTTTATTCATTATCATAAAGTCTGCAGACCCCCGATACTATCTAACTGTCATCGGTCTCATGGAGATATCAGCTCCCGTCGCCAGTGGCACGAATCACGAACACCTCCCATGATCCGAGCATGCGGCTCCGAACTTGCGAGGCTTCGGGTTTGCCGTGTTCTGCTGGCTACGGAGGCGATGCACTGTAGTGCTAGCCGTGATTGAAGAGTTGCAATGTCTAGGCTTCTTTGATAGCTCGGGGTTAGTAGTGTGGCAGTCGTGGTGGTCGTGTCAATGGTCAATGGTCTTAATTCTTTCAGGGGTCTTGGTGGTGGTGATTGCACTTTTGCTTTCTTCCGGTCTTTCCTGCGCCTCTTAACAGTCTACTGCCCGGAGTGAATGGGAGTGACTGAGGTTATACGGGACACCAAGTATCTGCCACCATTGCTGCCGACTTGCTGGTTTCGAGTTAATGTAAAGTCAGGCCAGTGACTCTGGAAAAGAGTTCATGGTATTCAGCCAGAGTCACACTTGGGCTGTACGACAGTGTTGATGGTGATTGCGATGAGGCAGGCAGGCCGAGACTTGTGATCTTGCATGTGGTGATGGACGCAGGGGTGGTGGTGCTGCTGCTGGCGCTGCTGGTGGTGCTGGTGCTAGTGCCGGGGTGGGTGTTGGTGGTTGTAGATGATGGGCCCAATAGTAAATGACACCGATGCTACAATATGCGAGAACTCCTTGTAGCAGTCTTCTACGACCCACACCAAGAAAGATCGAGGCTAGGGCTAAGTTGTCTGGAAACCGGCGCTTCTAAGTCGGAGGCCTAAGAAATCTTCGCGCACCCTTTCTCACACCGAAGGCGATTCCGAAACCTAAGCACCTTCTGAGTCATGACTGTCTTCCTTTATGGGACCACGGTTCTAGACTTGTGGCACGCGCAGGACGACCAAAACCCCGAGTGTTTAATACATTTTAATACGAGGACAGAAAACTAAATCGAAAAGAAGCCATTGAACCCATAGGACTGCGGACTGCACTCGCAGAAGCTATGCTAAGTTGGGAAACCCTGGCGGGCTCAACTGATTGCGCCACTTCACTCGACGCTCCGCGGGTTCGGCTTTCTAGACCCGAGACCGTACACCCGGCCCAAGCTTTACAGTCGCTAGGGCTTTCGGGTGTCGTTTTGAGTGCAGCTGGTCCACAGCCTTCGATTGCGCATCGATGTTCCGAAGGGACGGCTCGAGCGGCAAAGGTGCCCTCAACTCTAAACCCTGAAACCCCCCAACACTGCGCACTACTCTTACTCATTACTCGTGCACTTACTCCTACTCACTCTTAGTCTTGCTACTCGTTTATGTATATAAGCACATGCATGTACCTATCTAGGGAGATATAGATTTATGTATGTGTTAATCTATGTGTATATCTCTATATACATGCATGCATGCATGCATGCATGCATACATATATATATATATATATACATATATATATATATAGATATGCACATGTATGTGTACGTATATATATATATATATATGTGTATATATATAATGTTCACATACATACATGTGCATTGAGTATGTGCTCCGAAACATACGTGTGTACATACTTACATGAACCTAGGCATTCATACGTACATGCATGCATGCATACATGCATACAACATACCTATACATATAACACATGAATATGTACCTACTTACGTTCATGCGTACGTACCTACATACATACATGCATACACATGTAAATACGTACACACAACACATTCACACGTACATACATATGTAAGTGCATCACACGCCTGCAAACATCTATATATATGTATATATATATACACACATACATTTCTGTTTCCGATTTGTCTATATCGCTGTCGTATGTATAGGTACACATATTTATCATATTTATAACACTAATACTGATGTCATACTACATATAAACTACTACTGATGTTTATGAATATATATGTTACATAGCATCGTCTAATCTTACTTCTGTTCATGCATGCATTCAACAAGCTAGGGCCAAGTAACGGCATGCAGAAAAGTTGAAATTCAACATAGCCAACCCACACACACACATCAGCAACACTTTTCAACTTGCTGAAATGACTACAAACGACGTCAAGCCGTCCCAACGGCTTGACCCGGACTCTTTGCGGAGTGCTCGCTGCCTCTCCCGCACCGTCTCTACTGTGGGCCGACAAGGCTTTATGCGGTTGTAGATGTCTGACTATGAGGTGCTCGACATGTGGGCCTCAAACAACCAGCATTTTAGGCCTAGGGTTTAGCGTGCAAAGTTTCATGCCTCTGTCTGTGGACTTCACTGTTGCTGTGAAGATTCAGGTGCGGTTTGGTTCAGGCTTTGGCACAATGCACTTTACGAGCACTATGCATTCTCCGCTTGGACTTGAGGGGTATAAAGTTCACGAGGTTGCACGGAGGGACCGCAAGTACTTCTCAGCTTCTTGCTTGCATGCTGTGCGACACGGACAAGTGGAACAACATGGCTGCAGTGCTCTTAGCAGCGTGCATATTGAAGTAAACTACCTCGCAAAGATGTACGCCATTTGTGAGAGGTCGCTCTTTGGAGGTGGGCTGGGGTTGAGGCGCTCAACGCTTCTCGTTTCCAGGGCTTACGGGTTCTGGAGGAGGTTGTAGGGGTCAGGGGATGTCAGCCTATACCCGCACAGGAGTAGCTGTTCAGGCTCGACGCTTGCAGAAATCTCGCCTCCACGCAGCGAGAGGGATAGGAAAGGCAGGGTATCTCGCGCAACGCGTTCTGCAAATTTGCAGATAGAGCCTGGACCCCTCCAGGGAGTCAAGGATTCATGTAGTATGAAATTTAGATGCTCGAATTCTGCAGAAATAATTAAACATCAAAGTCATGCCTTATTGGCATAATATAATATATACAGCATGATACTGAGTCACAGAGCAGGGTGCTTGGGCTTGGGCACTAAGTTGAACCACTTTCCGTTTTCAAACAGAATGCCAACAAGGGAATCTCAAAACAAAATGCTACGCAAGCTGCAAACCCGAAGCCGTAAAACTTGAACTCTAAACCCGAACTCCGAAAGCTCGACGCTTCGCACGTCCCTACCGAAGCGCCTGAAACGACAAAATGAGCGCACCCGGGGTTTAGAGGTTTGGGGCTTAAGGGTCTAGGAGCTTAGGCTAATAAGGGCAGCAGTTGAGTGTAGAAGTCCTCGTAGGCTTTAGGCTCGAGCTTACAGAGTACGAGGTTCAGGGCATGCAGCCTAGCTTGCAGTTTGCCCCACTATCGCAATTACTACGGTCTCGGAGCCTGCACATGCTTCAGGGCTTAGGGCTCAAGGGTTTGAGAGTTCAGGGAAGAGTCTCAGGGATATTGGTTTCAGGATGCAGTGTATCCTTGATCCATAAACCCTAAACCTTGGGTACTACCCCCATACAGTAACAGTCTATATTAGGGCTACTATTCAGGGCCTAATATATCCATAATATTAATATTATCCAACTGTTGCTGAGCGCGGGCCGTACCCAACCTAAACCTGTAAATTACAGGAATTGCAGAACTCCTTGTCTGGGCGTGGACCATCGGCTCTGAAAATTCCACAGCACAGAGCCCCCAACATCCCCTCCACACTACGGGGGGGCCTTAAAACTCTAGACTGGGATCTCGAGTAGATAACACTTTAATCATACGTGGACCATAAAGAGATACTATTTCCAATTATTCAGAGCTTGTAAACTTCGCCATTTTGCTAGAGCCTGCTGTTGAATGGAACCTGCACCAAGAAGCACCATCTCTCTTTACGTAGAGAGGCATACAGACTAATTTTTAGAGAGACGGGCACAACCCCAAACTACTGGTCCTTGGGAGGCCTCGGGCCGAAACCCGGGGAAGAGGAAAACCGAAACCCTAAACTACCCATAGGCCCCATAGTAGTTCCGGCTTGGAGTTCATATTCAGAATCCTATAAGATAATCCCCAAAAGGAACTACTATGGGGCCTATGGTTACCCTAAATCTTAAAGTAATAGCTCTTGCGTCTGGCCAGGCCCCCGAGACTCGTACAAGCGACACTTTGCGTTGTACGGTTTAGGATTTTAGGGTTTATAAAGTTTAGGGTTTTAGGTATATTTCCGAAATTGGCATTCCGGACTATGGGGAGGGGGTTTAGGACTTAGAGCGTGGGGCAGTGGGACTGTTGAAGCCTCTCGAAATTTCGCGGCTTGGAAAATGTGGTTGTCATCAGTGATCCCGAATCCTGAATCCTAAACCCTAAACCCTGAACCCTAAACCCTGTCCCTAGACCCTAGACCGAGTGATCCCGAACCATGACCATGAGTGGGTTCCGGATCACTTTGACAGGTGCGTTATCACGAGAGGGTGGGGGTGGCTCCACGCAGCTCACATGCTCTGTACTTTCATGAACAAGCACTCGGACTGAATACTATTGCAAGAAGCAGCCAGGGCAGCACGTTCATCAATAACTTCGCGATAACACGGTAAAATACACAGAAAACAAGAATAGATAATGCGAGAGATTGAAGGAGACCGCTCTATATATGTACATGAAAACATGTATGTCTGCATACATGTATATGTGTGCCTACATACGCATACTAAAGTTAGACTTACTCTCTGTCCAATGTCCTTCACCGCAAGCTCGGATGAGGATTGATCTGCTTTGCTTTACAAGCATAAATAGTGAAGCGTGGCGTGCTTGCTGCGCATGTGCAGACACCATGCGCATGCAAACAAACAAGCTTACGTCAAGACATTCCTGCCTGTCCTTCCGAGAAAGGGGTTGATTGGTACATCTCAACCCAACGAAAGAATGTTTTGTGTCCTAGAGGTGAAAACTTCTATTTGGGGCTTTGGGCCGAGAAAACTTGAACCTGTACCTGACAGCCCAATTACCAGCACCAGTTGTCAGCCCTTCGGCCCAGAGAATTCACAACACATGGTGAGCTGGCTCGCAAATATCTAGAATCCTGAGGGAAACAGGGTAAGCCCATAGAGCCAACAACACCTTCTCAAACTTTATGCTTCGGCTTTGGCTTTAAGGTTTATGCGGTAGTCCCTTTCGCTTTCCATGACAGGGCCTCCTTCATTTGCCTCGAGGAGATATCCCCACCCCCCGACTTACAGTCTGGACTCAGACCCGCTGGGAAGAAAGGCCCGGAGAAGTTCGAAGCCGCGGAAACTGCCTGGAAGACAAGCGCTTTTTGAGATTTATTTGGAGTTCTATGATGAATGGGTACAAGTACAAGGGCCGCCGAACGGAAACACGGGATTCAGGGCTCGGCGTTTATAGGCAGGCCTTTTAAGGCCGGGTGTCTTTTCGGATTGAAGGCTTCCTTTGTCTCTTTGCGCGCCTTCTTCGTTAGGGCTTAACTTTAGGTTGGAATTGCCGTTTAGGGTACAGGTGTACGGTCAGGCATTATAAGTTGGAGCAGTGAGGGCTGGGTTTCGAGAACCTTTGATCTTCACTAGGCTTCAGGGTTTAGGACATGGGGTTGAACCCTAAAACCTAAACCCCTAAACCCTAAACCCTGAACCCTAAAAACCCTAAACCCTAAACGGTTTAAGGTATAGCTAAGAGCTTTGGGGTTTGGGTTTGGGGCTTCGGAAACAAGTTGACAGGCTCCAGGTTGAAAGAGACAGAAACTCTTCGACTCTAAACCCTATAAACCCTAAACCCATAAACCCTAAAGCCTTAAAAAACGCTAAACCCTAAAACCCTAGAAACCGTGAACAATATAACCCTAAAGCCTTAAACCCTAAAGCCCTAAGCCCTGAACCCTACAGTGCGTGAGGTTTGGGATTTGCAGTTGATTCCGGGACCTTCACCCCAATCAGGGCCCCGGAAACTGGTAGCCGAAACCACCTGAAACTTTGTAATTCTAGGGGTCTAAATAATTTGAGGTTTAGGTTTAGGGTTTACCATACCATTTTGCCAGGTCCCTCATCAATGATTGCAATATTATAATAAGGCCCCTATAGTAGAGTATGGAATGTGCTGTCAGACTGACTGACTGCAAAGACGCGGCAGTGGTTCGCAGGAGATCGGATCGCAAAATAAACGGGTCTCTTACCCATGACGTCTGCAACTCCACATCTTGTACACGAGATCCCAAACCGTAAAGGCAAGCTCCTCAAAACTCTACAAAAAACAAAGCATTAACCTCTTAACCCCAAAGCCCCATTCCTGAACCCGTAAGCCCAAAACACCGACATTTTCGGAACCTCGCCCTGCGAACATGGAAAGAGCCACAAGCACGAACAGCGGCGTCTTTTGAACAACCAGGACACAGAAGGGACCATGAGGCTTGCTTTCAAATTTCTATGTTCTGCGAGTATCAGCTGTCACCGAAAATGACATACCCTAAACCCTAAACCCTACCCTAACCCCAAATAGCCTACCGTTTTAACGACTTAAAGAAAGAAACCATCATAAGGAACCCCCAAAAGGTAGGTTCTTTAGGGTCCAGGTAAACCCTAAACCCTAAACCCGAAACCCTAAACCCTAAACCCTGAACCCTGAACCCTGAACCCTAAACCCTAAACCCGAACTTCTAAATCGACTCTTAGCTCGATCGTGGAGCTTGCTACACTTCGCCCCGGGGGTGCAATTTGCCAAGTACTTCGGCTGCTCCTTCCCATAGGCCCCATAGTAGTTCCTTTTGGGGTTCATATTTCGAACCCTATAAGGTCATCCCGAGAAGGAACTACTATGGAGCCTATGGGTTCTCATCACTTGGGAGCAAAAGGCTCCCTGATAGCCACGAAAGGTCGAGAAGCCTTCGGGGAAAGGTCTCGGCCATAGAACGACAACTTGACTCTGAAACTGAGAGCCGTGAGCCCTGTTTTCAAGCCGTCTCAACCCGAAAGCGGCACAGCACACTTCTTCGACCCGAAGGGGCACGGGGGCTTGTAGCTCGAAGTCCTGCTTTAAACTTTAAGCCGTCATGGACATTACGGGTCCTGAGGCCTGACATCGTATCTATCGCCCCTGTGAGCTCGAGGATACTCCTCTGCCAAAGCCTTGCAGACCGAAAGCACAGTTTCCCAAGCCCAAGAGCTCATGACCTCACCCATAGGCCCCATAGTAATTCCTTTTCGGGATTACCTTATAGGATTCTAAATATAAACCCCCAAAAGGAACTACTATGGAGCCAATGGGTAGCCATAATTTCCAAAGCCCAATGACCGAACCCCCCTAAACCCTAAACCTAAAACCCTCGAATTGCGAGAGAAGCGACCGGCACTCTCCGGATGGAACTGGACGCCGTAGATTGGCAGGGATCGGTGCCTCAGGCGAAAAGTTCCAGTTTCCGGCCTTCCAGAAATTCAGCAACCGAAGGTGTAAGCCCTAAAATAAATATCCTGAATCCCGAAACCCTGCCCGAGTGGTTATCGAGAAAGCCCCCAACGCTGCTACTGGGACCTTTACGCCGACGCACCGAGCAGGGGCTCTAAAGCCTATGCGCTTTTCCGATTATGCAGGCGGGAAAAGAGCAGGATCACCGAGCAGAAGCTCTCATCTTAAACAAAGATCAGGACCCCCACGTCCCTAGCATGTCAACGCTGCCAGATCCTAAAATCCCAAACCCCAAAACCCTAAGCCTAAACCCCGAACCAGGATCCGAAATTCCAACCCACAACCGCAGTGTTACACCTGATCCCAGTAATTTCGCTAAAGACTGGACACAGTAACGTAGTGCGGGTTTAAGTTCAGCTTCTTTTTTGGTGGGTGGCGGATCGATCCTGCATTGCAGCAACAAGATGCTGAGCATTGCCCATCGATCCTGCAAGATGCTCCTGTGCTTGCGGGTATGTCACGTCGCCGACCCTCGGGGGCCGTAGCTCTGAAATTCCAGCGGGGCCTAAACCCTAAACCCCAAACCCCTAAAGGCTGATATCGGGCATCCGCCCCCTTATGGCCTGAGGGCTCCTGAAGCTGAAACCCAGTGTGAAGATGACGAGCCGTGCTCCACATGAGGTTTTAGGGTTTGGGGGGTTGGGGGATTCAGAATGTAGGACTTTGGATTGTATACGGCGACGCAGCCACCAAAGCCTTTATTCTAAAATCCTGGGCTCCTGCAGCCTCGAAAAAGGAACACCCAACTCAGACGACGAAACCGAAACCCTGCATCTCCTGAAGGGAGAAACCCCGCAATCATACTATAATTCAGTATCCCCAAGCCCTTCATCTCTTGAAAGACCGAGGTGAAGCAAGGTCGAGATGCTGCACGGCCATGACTAGAGTCCTGGTGGAATCCCAAGCTGAGACCTCGGCTTCGATCCGTTTAGATTGGGATTAGGGTAATTACAGGTTTGATCTTTGTGTTTGGGGTTGTGGAGGTGGGGGGGGTCCGGTTGCAATTAAAATCTTTCTTCGCGCATCCGCGTCGGCGAAGAGGCGCAGGTTTTCAGTTCCAGTGGGTCTCGAACTAGTGGATCAAATGAGGCCTTGTAGATCCTGCAGACAAGTCTTGCTTATTGTAGCTTTTGCTGCACTGCTTGAGATTTCAGGGTCCGACTTAGTGCCCAAGGATAAGGTGTCGTAATCATCCCCTACCCCCCGCTGCCATCTCCCCATACTCCCTCCGAAATGTGAAGCAGCAAGAGGTGGCATGACAATAGGGAAGCTGCAAATACCGTGTACAAATGAAAGTGCCGTTAGGAAGGTGTAATGCAAGTTAGTTGATATCGGGGGTGCCTGCTGCTGCTGTTGCTCCTCCTCCTACTACAACTACTACCACCATCACTACTACCACTACCACTACCCCTCCCCCCACCACTGCTGGTGCCTGAGCCCTCCAACTCCCCACACCCCATGCACTTAGGGCCCAGGAGCGCGCAGCGCCGAAGTCGCCGGCTGCACCGGAGGCTCCAGAACCAGAGAGTTGTAGCGAATCATCCTCTGAGCATTCGGGGGCCAAAAATCTTACCAATACTATTTTGGGGTTCCCTATCATAGTTCTAAAAATATTTGGGGTTCCCTATCATAATTCTAGAAATATTTGGGGTTCCCCAACCAATTCTAGAAATATTGGGGTTCCCTATTATAATTCTAGGAACATGAGCCCTAAAACCCGATTCGAAGTATTAAGGACCCTTGCTTAGTTGCTGAGTTCATAAGTCCCAAAAAGTGTACACTTTCAGTTCTATAAGGGATCATATAATCCCAGAAAGTGTAAAGTGTACTCACTCAGCTACTAAGCTTGATTGGTTCATAGCGCGTGGGGAAGAAGGTCTCAGACTGCAGGGTTCAGGCTCTAGGGACTGTGCGGATGCATAGTGTACGATTTCGGGTTCAGGTTCTACGATTTCGGGTTCAGGTTCTAGGGTTTAGGGTTTAGGGTTTAGGGTTTAGGGTTTAGGGTTTGGGGCGGGGTGGGGGACGAGGGTCTACAGGTCTGCCAAGCAAATAAACGGAGTTCCCTCAACATTTATCTACATGTAGTATAGGGGCCTAAATAATTATAATACGGTTTCGGGGTTTGTTATACTATAAGTCTAAGAAGGAACCACCAAAATAGTATGGGTAATTATCAAGGCCCTTATATAATAGGTCCAGGCTGGTTGATGACTGTGGCCTTTCGGAGGGATGACCGTGCTGCAGACTTATCAGTTCTCAACGTGTAGCTTCTACTTGTTCAAATGGGTAGTTTTCCAGATTAGGGTCCCTTTTTTTAGGGGCATTGGTTGGGAGGCTTCAACGTGTAAACCCTAAACCCCTAAACCGCTAAACCCTAAACCCCTAAAACCCCTAAGCCCTAAACCCCTAAACCCGCTTGAAACGACCTCAGGGGCTTCGAGTTTAGAGTCGAGCTAAGATTCATCGCTTGCTAGCCCCAGTACTAACATGGACTCTTACTTTAGCCCCCCTGGCTAACAGCATCCTCCGTAATTATCAAACAAACATCGCAATGTTCCGAAGCCTTAAACTTAACCCCGTAATGCCCAATACATGAACTGAACCAAGATTACCCTCAGTTCTGGCCACACTGACAGCTAAACACGCGGGTTGTTCAGCGCCTTTGGCACTTGCACCGCTAGCATCGTTCAGTTCTGGCGACATGTTGTCAGCCAAACTGTCCCAAATGTCCTTGAAAGGCTCTTCGCTTCTCATGGTGTTGGTGGGCGCAACAGGAGCACTTGTGACGAATGCAAGGTCTTCCAAGATTCCCATTGCTGCAAAGAGCTTGACTGCTGCCAGGCGTGGTGACAGGCTGGAACCGATGCATGCCCAGAAGTCATCACCGTCCCAGCCATCTGTGTCGCATGCAGACTGTTCCTCAGCATCCTCCTGTGACAACTTATCATCAATCTGCTTCTACTCAGAGGTCTCTATGAGCGTTGGGTGGTCATGCTGTGCCTCTGCTTCCAAGGGTTTGCTTTGTTGCCATCATGGCTGCCATCGCTTCAGCATCCTCTCGCGAAAGTTGTATGTCCGTGAACTTCTTCTGCGAGGTCTCCTCCATGAGCGTTGTCATAAAGGCATCCGGTGACCCTCCAGCCACGGATTGCTCAAATTGGGGGGCGGCTTCATGTGGGCTGCTTGGGCGCTCTACACGCACTCCCGATCGTCGTGCGCACGACCTCGACGACGACAGATTATGAAAAAAGGAAGCAGCAACAGATGGCGATGGCGACAGACAAGCAGGGCGTGGGTAGTTCTCTACATTAGGGTCCCGCTTTAGGTCCCCAATACATATAGTACGGCACCCTTACAACAAGGGCCTTAACAGGAACCCGAATTTCGAGAACTACTCACCTGTCGCACTGCAGTCTCCAGCCTCAAGCAGATTCTTGAGGCTGGAGACGGCAGTGCGACATGTGAAATTCAGGACATCTCCCTGAACGTGGATATGTGCGACCTCGCACATCTCCAGGTTCAGGGAGGGTGACCTGGGCCCGGGTCTCGGAAGTGCTCGGAGTGGAGGCTGATTTGGTGGAGCTGAGAGGCTTTTTGGAACAGAGCATGCCTAGTATGACAGCTGAGTTACAGCTACACTGCTGCAGCATCCTCCGGGGACATTTGAGCGTCGGCTGGCTTCCTCTGGGAAGTTTCAGTTGGCAGCTGCCCTGCATCCTTATGTTGCTCTGCCTGGCGTGCTTCAGTCAGGCTGTTTGCAGGCCCTCTGCCATCATGGAGGCCAGGGCAGCAGCATCCTCTCTGGTGACATCTGCGCGTCTGTGGGAAGTCGCCATGAGCATCTTGAGGAATGAGTCCGCTGGGTCTTCATTGCGGCCTCCTGCAAAGTGCTCCCTTCGCGCGAAAGGCTTGCCAGGCGCTCGGACAGAGCCTTGAGGCAAGCATAGCGAACGATCAGTGCAAGGAGCATGAGTTGCGATGCTATGGAGAAAAGAGCCACCTCGTGGTAGAGCGCGGGCAAAAGCACCACGTCTTGTGTGGATGCCCGGTCTAGAAAGAGAACAGCCGAGCGAGACTGAAGACTTTTGCTTGAGCGGCGACATTTTGGCATTGGGGGTTTGGGGGCTGTGGGTTTAGGGCTGCAGGGGAATCCTCCGCATGTCTTTGATGCACTTTGACCGGGATGTGGACCCCATCTAGTCTAGATTTTATGGATTTCTGGTTCAAGCCTGCAAGGCAACAAGCCCTCCGGGTCAGCATCTTGTGGGTTATAGGGTCGTTGTAGGGCTCTGAAGGGTGCTGTGTGGGGCTGAGATGGCGACCGTGGGGGCTTCAGAATGTTTCATGTTTTGGTGTTGGGATACCGCTCAGGCATGCAGGGTTAAGGCTTTCAGAGTTCATGTAGGAGAGGCAGGACTTCCCCCGAGTTAGCTTTCATGCTTTCAACTACCGGAACTACCGTGTAGATTTCCCTGCAAGCCCTCAATCCACACGGACTGTATCCGAGCAACAGCTCGACAACAGCATGAGGCCTGAATTCTGGCTTTGAGGGGCATAGCAGCATAATGGCAGAACCAAAAACCGATACCCATCAAACTTTGTGCGTCCCGAGCCCCTCACCCAAATGGTCCCTAAACCCTAAACCCTAAAACCTCAACCCTAAACCCTAAACCCAAATGATCCCAAATGGTCCGCCCTTAAACTGTCTTTTGCCGCCTCGCAGGGCTTTCCATCTTCGCGAAGAGGCCGCAACGGGTGTGGAGGATCTCCTGCGACGGAGAGACCCCTTGAAATGGGTTAGGGTTTAGGGTTTAGGGTTTAGGGTTTAGGGTTTAGGGTTTAGGGTTTAGGGCGACGAGTTCTTTCGGATTCACGACTTTTGGGCTAGAGGTCTGGGCTGTCGATCGGTTCCAAGCTCCCGCCTACCTGGCGCTCACACGCATAATGAAGACAGGCCTTCTGCAACTCTGTACGACTTGTGGGATGTTGCTGCCACGGGTGCCGATGCTGCTTTACCATGCTTTACCTACAAGGACTGCTGACGGCTGCTTCGCATACTGCTGCTGGCGAGATTGGCACTCAGTAGCCTGCTCCTCTTCTCCCTTCTGCATGCTACTGCTACCACGAAGCCAAGATGTCTTACAATCCCCGCCCCTCGCAGCCTGAACTCAAGCCTGAGAACCCTTCATCCCCCTGTTACCCCAAGCCCAAGGACTCAAGATGCAGCTCATGGGACCTATCCATGTACACAACATGAAAATTCACACATACACACATGCATACATGCAGATATACACACACACACACTCACACACA